TGCTTTTGAAGAATCTTTCATTTTAAAAGGAAAGCCAAACACTGTTGTTCATAATTGTTTGTATTTTATTATTAGTTTATATTTTACTTAAATTAATGCTGAAGGAAAAAAAAGCACTATAAATTTTCTTATATAAAATGTGAAAAAAGATGATATACATGAACTATTTCTTCTTTTTTTTTTTTTATGCTAACCTTTGTTTTTTTATCTTTAAGCTATGTATATGATATGCAAGTAGCTTTTTTTGTCATTTAAATAAGAGTTTTAAAAAATACTTTCTTTTATTAGATATTGAAGAAAGTGAAAATCATTCTCTTCTTTATACTCGACCATGTGATTGGGAAGCAGAATTAGAAAGGTGTAAATGTCCGGGATGGAGGGTAACATTAGCCAATGAAAAGTACCTGTTATCAGAAAGGTGATTTTTTTATTTAATCCTGCTTTTAAAATCAAATGTAATATCAATATTTGATACTTTCTTATTAGCCACTTCACTTCAGAAATGCTCTGAACAAGGTGTCTATTTTTTAACAAAGACAGTCATCAGAATTCCTTTTTACAACTTTTCCTTTAAACTGATAACCATACTCAACAATATTTTGCAGTCTGGTACAGTACAAAGTCCATAATCCGGACGTCCATTATCCGAAATGATCTGTAATCCGAACCTCAAAGCCACAAACTGACGCATGCATGTTTAATGCACGCATCCGCTACGCATGTGCGTAAAGCCATACCCATGCGAGCTTCCGATAGTGAAGAAAATGACAGAGAGTTTATTGAAAATGAAAAAATTTTATTGACAAGTTAGTCGGTATTCTCGACACAGCAATTACAGGGCTTGAACAGTGGAACTTTGTAATTGAACAAGAAATTATGTCTGATAGAATTAAAGAGAAAATATTAGCACAAAAAACAAAGCAGTTTAAACAATGTACATTCAAAGAAATGTTTAATAAAGGAAACAAATAAATGCAGTCAAAAGTCTTTAGTCCGGACTCGTCGGGACTTCGGCGATTCCGGATTATCGGTTTTTCCGGATTATAGATCGTCGATTTAAATCTGGTAAGCTGACATGCATAAATTATAAAATTAAAAATATGAAACCATAATTTATGAAATAAAGAGCAATTATGACCTAAAGGGTATCAAAATTTACAAAAAAAAAGCTTAATATTTATTTGTTTACTTTACTAAACATTTCTTTCAGCGCACACATGCGTAAAGCATACATTACGTATACTTGAAATTAGAAAATTGCAACCAGAAAACTATTTGATGTGTATTCATGATATTTATAATGACGACGAATTTGATTTAAATCATATCAAAGACGGAGTACATTGAGATGAAAATACTACATTATAAGCCGAATAAAATAAAAACATCTGCCTTGAAGATAAGGATAGTGCCGATAGATCAACCAGTTCATTGTGTGCTGCGACGCCCCCCCTCCCCCGCAGAGCAGCGTGAAATTGGATAACCAGATTTCGGAATGGTTATCGAAACAAAGGATATGCCCTTATCCATTTTTTTGCAGCATTTCCACTTTTTGTTTGATGGACATCAAACATGCTTTCACTTTGTAGATCCTTTGGCAGCTCCAGAATCGGAAATTCTTTTTGACATAATCAAAAGTTCAAGCTTACTTTTATAAAATTACTCTAACAGTCTGCAAGAAATAATACGCCGGATCCAATTAGAAGATTAAGGAACAATGCAGTCTGCAACATTAACTGAAATAGATAATTAGATAATTTTAGCTTAGCTTATACCGTCCATTATACATTTAAACGCACATGCATAAATGTATTATGCGCATGCACAGAAAGTTTGTAGCTTTGAGGTCCGGATTATAGATCATTCCAGATTATGGAGTTCTGGATTAAAGATTTTTGACTGTATTAAGTTTTTTTTTTTTTTTTTTTTTTTTTTTTTTTTTTTTTTTTTTTTTTTTGTAAATTTGGATACCCTTTAGATCATAATTGCTCTTTATTTCATAAATTATGGTTTCATATTTTTAATTTTATAATTTCTGCATTCTATCTTACCAGAATTAAATTGATGATCTATAATCTGGAAAAAGCCCTAATCTGGAGTTGCCGAAGTCCCGACGAGTCCGGATTACGGACTTTGTACTATATTAAAGTCTTTATCAGGTGATGTTTTTAATGGGAAAGTACTCAATAACAAAAATGTTAGTACAGTAGAAGACCAGAAAAGATAAATCATAATATTTAGACTAAAAGTGCTAAATAAATCAGAACATTAAGGACATATACAATAAAGGCATATGAAAAAATCACATTGCTAGAGCATTATATATATAAAGTAATTAAAAATAAATTAAACAGCCTATGACTTTGCTAAAGCTGCAAATTAATAAACCAATAATTCATAATAAGAAAACAGGGTTCGTAGCGGTCCTTACAAGTGCTTATAAGTCCTTATATTTGAAAATAAATATAAGGCCCTTATAGGTGCTTACTTTTTCTTAAAGCCTTTTTTTTATTTTTAGTGCTTATTTTTTTGCTTTTAGTGCTTTTTTTTTAATGACGCACATCACCCCCCCCCGTACCAAAGCCGAAACTAAATAAACAACTTTTCTTCCTTATATGCGTCAGATGGTGAACCATACTCCCGGAAATAGCTTTTCCCCCTTTCTCTGCATTAACGTAACCTATGTGGTGCGCCGAGAGTACAGATAGGTGCACGTCATTCTATTGGTCAAAGAATTGCGAAAACCGTAGAAAATTCCGGTACATTCGGTAGTCTTTTCCTTCCACCCAAATACTACACACGTTTGAATTTCTATCAAGATTTTAATAATTTACATTCATTTTCCGCGTGGTCAGTTCATATTCGTGTTTAATATGATCATTATGCTTACTATATTCTGAGCATATGTATGAATATTTATAATAATATAGTTGCAGTAGCTGTTGAAGTGTAGATAAACTTCCAAAAATGGGTTTATTTTTACACAGATTAGCTTTCTAAGGAATAATATTCGGAATGGCCTAAATAAAAGGAAAGTAATCGATAGTCAGAATAATTTCTTTCTTTCTTTCTTCTTTTTTTTTTTTCCCCCAATACATTATACAGTACGGAGGATGGGAGGTTCTCCCCTTTCTCCGCAAAATCGCTAATTATTGAAGCAGCGGACTTTTTTTTTTTTTTTTTTTGTCACTGTCCAATCTGGATTGGATAGGACTAAAAGTTTTGCGGTCTACCCAACCCAAGCGAAGAATGATTCTATTCCAGAAATTTAACGGTCTGTTCAAAATTCGAATCAAAAACACCCCAGATTAGTAGTCTCTTCTTTTCCTTTATTTTTTCTTTATTCGAATACCGGCAGCTGTTGATTCCGATTGCGTAATATCACGTATGGAAGAATTACGCCGCACGTATTGCGCAATAACGTTTGCGGTCTTTTGCAGAGATAATTAATTTTGATGTTCAGTCTGAGCTTTATTTCTGAACATTTAAGTTTTACTGTTCTTTCTAAGCAGAATATTTCTCAGTTCCATTGGTCAATTTTTATATGATGCACATATCGAAATGTCAAAATCATGTATTAGCCGAGAAATCTAAAGAACGGCTACTATCTCCAGCTCCCTCCTCTTTTTCCAGTTACACTCGACTATACGGAATATTCGGCAATTTCCTAGTATGCGGGTTAGTTAAGCTTTTACTGTTAAAGGATGACTGAAGCAATTTTCCGTCTCCTGATTTCAGAAATGTTCCTCTTTTTTACTTAAATTACTTTGCTTGGAATGTATGTTAAGGGAAAACTGTTATGCAATGAAAATTTAGAAAATGTTCAGAATTTTGATTTAAGTTAAATTATTTAAATATTAATATGAGTGGAAAAATAAATTCTATTTATTATTAGGTGCCAAGCGAATACAGTTAATATGGCTTATTACTATTTATTTCTATATTTTGAACTGAAATTTCATCATTAAATCTTGTAATATAGTTTAGTTTCTGCATAGTTTTTTTTTTTCTCAATTGAAAACTAATTCTGTAAATTGAACTGTCATTTAAAATTTTAAAAAAAAGTTAATTGTTTTCCATGGTTGAGGTAATGCTCATTCTCTTAATAAATATTGCATTGCTAATATTTTAAATTGCAAGTCTAATTTTCTTTTAAGGTTATGCAGTTGGTGTAAATGTAATTAAAGTGCTTATTTTTTTCTTAAAGTGTGCTTGAAAAGTGCTTATAGGTGCTTATTTTTTGAACTAAAATGTGGCTATGAACCTGGAAAACTTTCCACATACCATCTCCAAGGAACACAAATTCAATTTAAAACCATGAATGAAAGAATTTTGTGGTCAGAATTTAAATATTTTAAATAGTAATTTCAACTTGTATAAAAATCTGCTAAGAAAAATCTTTAATCCCAAAAAAATCAAAACCAAAATTAAATTTTAAAAAATGAAAAAGTAACTGCTGTCATTGATTGTGGATTAATCGACTTATCAAGGGGATAAATCAATCTGTCATCAATTAGCAACAACTAAAATAAGAGTGTGTTTCATCTGACTTCCAAGTAAATTGAATTTGTGTTCCTTGGAGATGGCATATGGAAAGTTTTCTTATTATAAATTATTATGAATTATATATATATATATATATATATTTTTTTACATATTTCAAGCATTTTTCTAATAAAATTTTGTTGTAAAACTTTATGGTGCTCCAGAGAAAGGGTTTTTTTATTTATTTTTTTTTTTTTTATTTTTTTTTTTTAATTGAATAGTCATAATCTCTTGCTCTGTGGCACAGCTCTGTTGTTCTTAAATTTAAGATATTTAAGGTATTTTTTTACCATGTTCCAAACTTTCATTAAACGATATTTTCTCACTCCTATCAAATTCACTGTGTGAGTGTCACAATTGTTTTCTTGCTGTGTTAAGTTCAAAACATAATAATTTCATCATTGGTCATCTGATATGCTAGTGTTTGCTCATCTATACACATCACCCATTCAATGATATCTTCTTGCAAAACCTTCTCATTTGTGCATCTTTTAAGATACAGAAGCAATTCTTTTGCTTTAATCTTTGCTGCACTGATCCTAAAACCAGAAAATTCTCTGTCATTGCCCTCAGTTTCAATAAACAGAGAACATGGCCATACATTATGCCACCTATTTACTAATGGCGTTTAGGAAACAGAATTCCATGATTCTGCTAATAAATAGATGCAGTTCCTGATGGTGATTTTTTTTAAATATATAATCAGAATAAAAGGGTCACTTGAAAGAATGTTTTTCAGAAATTCCTGATTTTAAGTGGCATTTAATACTGTGTATTATGTCTTGGTCAGTTCATTGGATCAATGATGTAGTATTTGGGGGCAAAAGAAGGGCCATGACATTTTCACATGTTAAAAATGATTGCATCTGGATGTAGAGAGCAGTTGTCCAATCTTGAAAATATTCCAACCTGATGGTAACCCAACACAGTTACAATGCTTTCTAGCTCTTTAACGAAATGTTCCATGAACCATTTGGTCATAAGTTGTTTCATGAACTAGGAATTTTTATTATTCCTATAAATCACAGGTAAGGATTTTATCTCCTTCACAGCTCTTGGAATGGTGGTCTTACTCACTACCATTAGTTTATGTTTGCTGTTCCATCTGCATTGCTGCATATTAAAATAGTAACTCTTTCTTTCACTCTGATGGTGTACTTTCTTTCTTTTTCACAAATATATTTCTTGGCAAGTATCGCCAAAAGGAGTCCACTCATGTCCATATTAAAAATCTGTTCTGGGCTAAGATTTTCTTCTGCCACCAGCACAGAAAATTCATCAATAAATTGCTCTGCAGTGTCTTTATTTGCTGAAAGTGTTTTCTTGTGGGCTTTCAGGTAATGTATACTGTGTGTCTTCTTAAATCTGTTATGCATGCTTCTTAAACCTGCAGCATCAACCATTGCTTAGATCCTGTATTTTTAAATCAGCATGCATCTGTTTTCCTTTCCTCTCAGGGACAGTCCTGAAATTGGTATCCTATTGCTCTGCCACTGCCAGAACCAGTCATAGGAGACAGCATTGAGGTTTGCTGATTTTGCCTTTTGCAAAGATTTCCAGTGGTAGAATCATTATTGCTGTCAAATTTTAACAGCTTTTCTTTATTTTTCCATATATGATGTACGCACCATGTTTCAATTTTCTACAATTGGGTTGTAAACCGAGTAGTAGCACCTCCCTCCATCTTTTGCAAAATTTTCACTTTTTGCGTTACCATTCAGTGCAATGTATTTATGTTTTCAACTTTGCAAGCAGTGAAATTATGAACGTGTTTCTTACTTGCCATTGTATTAAGAAGGGCTAAAATAAAAAATATTTTTAATCTTCTCTACAAAAACTCTCGATAAAACAACAAAATAGCAGCACTTGATAAAACAACAAAACAGCAGCACTTGATAAAACAACAAAACAGCATCACTAAACAATTTTGTGAAATAACAAAGCTCAGGAAATACAACTACGCGAGTTGTAAACTTAAAAGAGAAGTTGAATGAAGTTGTCTGCTTCTTTACCTTACTGCTTGGAGGGGGGGGGGACTTTTGTCATGACGTCAATTATTTGGTAAGTATTTCCATTATGATGTCACTATCTAGTAAGTATTTTTCTTTTCTGTGATGTTTCATTCTCAATTTTTTGGTTTCCTGACTCTATAAACTGAATGTTTATATTTTGAAAGATAATATGGATTTTAGGTGAGCAGATTTTTGGTGTTTGACTATACTTTCTGATTATCCGCACTCCTCTTTGAAAAGTTGGTAACTAATTTTTCACCAAGCTAATGTGAAAAAAGGAAGAACCCCTCTGAAAATGGTTGCATACTGAGAATTCCATAAAAGAGCAATGAAGCAATAAAACTTAGAAAGCAAAAAACTGTGGGAAGGCACTTACCTTATTCAAGAAATCAGAGAATTACACTGACTTGACATTGTGCATGCTGTTTTATCCCTGTATTTACAGTCATCTCTTTTCATTTAAAAAAAACATTGGAGAATAGCACAAGCTCACCATTCCAAATCCTAACACTTTGCTTGCAATTTTTCATATTGCATATCCATAAAATTCAATCATTTAAGATGCACAGCGTCAGAGAATATAAGATAAGAAGATTTATACAAAATAATATAATATTGCAAATTGGAGCTAATGGGATTCATACATGATTTGTATCAATTTTTGATCTTGTTATATTTGGTGCTCATGAAATAAGCTTACTTGTTTTACTTGAACTCTATGCTCTTATCTATCTCTTAAGAACTCTATGCTCTTATCTATCTCTTATGAACTCTATGCTTAAGTTTTTACTTGAACTCTATGCTCTTATCTCTTAATTAAACTTAAGGTTGAAGCTGTCCATTGGACAATTTTAAATATCAATTTATCAATTAAATATTTTTGCCATCTGTTTAAGTCAGATTTTATCCTGAAAAGGAATTTTTGTATTTCAGTTAGTAAAACATTCTAATATTTTATTGCTTGGACATTTTTGATATTGTGTTAAAACTTTAATATCTCTTTGCTGTGTCATGCACAGTATTGGTGAAGATTCTTTATCTTATTTTTAAAAATTCTATAACTGAAAGCATATGTCTAGGATTCAATATTTAAGAAAATAAAATATGTAGCTATTTTTCTAAATATTCGTTATATCTAAGGATATTTAGAAATAAAGCAATTTAGTGTTGAAATAATTAGATGATTTAATGGCCCTCATAATTTATTATTAAAACTTTCTTACTTTATATATCTATATATGACATGATTATAGTTATGATGTTTGTAATTTAGTCTTCCAGAATCATTTGTGGTGCCTTCAATTTTGCTTGATATGAATTTAAGTAAAACTGCTCCTCACTTTGCTGGTCACAGAGTTCCTGTAAGTACATCTTTGTTTTGATATATAAATTGCAAAATATATCTTATTTGTGCATATTTAATGTTGTTTAAAAAATGCATGTTAAGCCAATTGTTCATTCAGTCATTTAAAAATGGTAAAATAAGTAACCAGTAGAAAATTTAAAACAAAATTAGGGGGGAAAAGTAATAAAATATGGATTTCGAATGTGTAGTATGCATGCAAAGAAATTCTAAATTATGAAGATAATGAAGTATTTTGGGAATTCTGTTTGTGAAATAGCAGTTTGAGGGTAGGGGACAGGAAATGGTTGATTTGAATATTTCTGAAATAGAAATGCACTTTTTTAAATTAAATTCTGATTATGAATGAAGCATTTATTTCTGATTGTACTAATTAACTAACATTTCTTTTTCTCATTTCTCATAGTTGCTAATTTTATTTAAGTAGTGTGCTGATTTGATTTATAAATAGCAAATCATCAAATTTTAATAAATGATAAGAAATAATGAGACAATATGTTTGCCAGTGCACTTTATTATTTGTAGTTCCATGAGTTCTTTTTTTATTTCAGTTATTCAGTTTCCAGGTCTCTGAGAGCAGAAAATTCAACTTCAGATGTGCCCTTGCAGATAGACTGTAAATGTCTCAAACAATTTTCTAACTGAGCTTGGATATTACATATTTGTTTAGATAAATTACCTAAATCAGTGACAATCAATTGCTGCATGCAATTGGGCCGCATGTAGCATTTGAGATATTTTCTGCGAGCCACAGCTGAGTAAACAAACCAGCTGCTAGGCTGCATTTTGAGTCTAGTATATGAAAGTGGTGATTTAGCCATAAATTTTAAAGACTTTTTAAGCTGTTATAGGAAGTACAGAAGTTATGAAAACATTTTTTCAGTATTGGGCTTGTGTTTGAATCTCGGAGAAACTGTGGATATTTGTAACTCTGTTTTTGTGCTCTATTACTTAAAATTTCCATTTATTGAAGAAAAATGTTATTCCATTCTTTTCCACGAAAATGTTTTGTGAGATTTATACTTGTGTTACCTGATTCATATTAGTTGTTATCACTATACATGTTTCTGTTTCAAAATGTTAGATTTTTGTGTCTTCATAATCAGTATATCCACTAAAATTTATACAGTTTCTTATTAAGTAAATTTTGAAATAGCTCTTAAAAGAAAATTTTGGGGGAATATTACTTTTTTAAGACTGAATCAATAAAAAAATTATAATGTTCATTTAGAAACAAGGAGGGGGCAAATAAAATGTGTTATACAGTACAAAGTCTGTAAAGTCTGGATGTCCATTATCCGGAATGATCTATAATCCGGACCTCAAAGCCACAAACTTTTTTTTTTTTTTTTTTTTTTTTGTGTGTGTGTGTGTGTGTATGCTTTATGCATGTACGCATGCACGTTGGGAGGATGTTTCTCCAGATACATTAAAAAATGCTTAACATAGTTTATGGCCAGCTACCATATTTCATGGTGAAGACAATGAAGATGATAGCTGCGAATTTGAAGTTTTCGGACATTGCAAACTAAAGGTGAAATTTTCCAGTTATTGGATTTTGTAAAGAAATGTGGAGAAGCGGTAATAAATGAGGATGATATAACAGAAGTTTTTCATTGCGACGATAATGCCCCAATCATCAATCAATTAACGGACAGTGAAATCTGTAATTGACAAGTTAGTTGATATTCTTGAACAAACAATTTTCAGGACTTGAACAGTGGAACTTTTGTAACTGAACAAAAAATTGTGTCTGTTTATAGAATTAAAAAGAAAGTATTAGCACAAAAAACGAAGCAACTTAAACAACTTACATGAAAAGAAATGTTTTTAATAAAGTAAACAAATAAATATTAAGCTTTTTATTGTAAATTTGATACCCTTTAGATCATAATTGCTCTTTATTTTGTAAATTACGGTTTCCTATTTTTATTGTATAATTTCTACATGCCATCTTACCAGATTTTAAATTGATGATCTATAATCCGGAATCGACGAAGTCCTGATGAATACGGATTACAGACTTTGTACCGTAGTGTAAATATATAAAAAGATAAAATCCAATCTGAGAACTTGTTTTGAGATATTTTTTCTTTTCTATTTTATATATACAAATTCATTTTTAATGTTTTTAACAGACTTGGAGTTGGGGATTACCGTCCGGTGCCTCAGTGGTTCGAATGGCTGCTTTAGATCCAAGTATATCAGATAGTCGACAGAAAGATGTGTAAGTTTTCTATCTAATTTATGAGAAATTAAATTTTAAATAATTTTTAGCAATAATTGCATAAAATACTGGAAACAAGTACACACTTTTTTAGCCAGTCAGAATATAGCATAAACAAAACATATGTGTAAACTGCCATTTAATGGACAATTACTTGCCATCCACTTCAGAGATTATTGATTCCCTGTATATAATAATGTATATTTATTATTCTGTTTTCTGAGACTGAAAATAAACATTTATTTTTTGTAGAATGATTGATGCCATTAGCAGAGCAAGCCCTCGTCAGCTGCCTGTTCGTATTTTCAATTTGGATGAGACTTGCCCTAGTTATAGAGATGTACAGAGTAGTTTCTTAAAACTAAAAGACCTTTGTGCATTAAGTAAGTTTTCTGATGTAATTTATTTGGGGGGGGGTTAAAGCATGGATTGAAAATTTCTTTGTAAGTTAGTTATATATGTTAAATATAGGTAGATTTTTCAATATACAATTCAGGGAATTACTGTTTGTTTTAATGCAGTTTGATTTTTTGGTGTTTCTTCATCAACCATGAAGGTTGGCAAATGTCCCACCAAACTGATACGACTTATTCTAGTAGAAATTTGGAACAAACAGCTTGAACAGCCCATACCTTTGAAAAACAATGTTGCATGCTATTCTATGAAAGGTTCAAAATGCAATGGAAAGACAAAGAAGCATCAATTAACATACTCTTTTTTAATTGTACTTACTTATTGAAATTTAATTGAGGTTGCATAAAACTGAGATGAAGATCTTATGAGTGTTTTGGGATGTCATACTTACTGGTCCATTACTGGCTGTAGATCACAGTGTTTGGCAACAGTTTCTATTTGCTGAAAATGATTGATGTGAAAGTTTGTAAGTACTGATTTTTTTTAAATCCTAGTACTTGTAATATTTATCATCATCAATGTTCATTTTTATTTTGTATATATTATTTTCATTTGAATGTTATTATTTGCTGTTTAATTTGATTTAAAAGTTATTTTTAGTTAATTGAAGTGAGAGAGACCTCATATAATTTAATATTAGCCAACCTTTTGATTTCTAGTTTATAAATAAATAATTAACAAGTGCATTAAAATTTTTCAGCCATTTGTGCATTAACAGAGTTTTTTTTTTTTTGTTTTTAGTTTTTTTTTTTTTTTTTTTTTTTTTTTTTAATAAAAAGGTTTTTTTAAAATTAAATTCTCCTGTCCAATCATTTTTAAATTTTGTGGCATCCAAGATTAACTGTATTGAGATATGAACATTTTTTTTAATGATTCTGTAGGGAAAACTAAAAAGTAAAGTAAATAGACTTGTGTAATGCACTTTCAAATGAGCAGGGACACCTCTGATCCGGAAAAGAGAGAAAACAGCCACAAGTTAACTGTTAATGATGTTAATTCTAAATGAATGCCTTTTTTACTATTTCTAGGTACACCTAATGAATTCTGGGAAACAGACAGTAATTACCTCAGTAAACTGGACTCAACAAAATGGCTTCATCACATTTCTTCATGCCTGAATATTACTTTAGAAGCTACAAAGTGCATTCTTGAAAATACAACTGTCATTTTCTCAGGTGTGAAGTTATATAAATGTTATGTATATTTAATCACCAGCAATACAAAATACATTTGCGGGTAATTTATAAACTTAAAAAACTTGCTATAAAAATTAGATAGATTGCTATAAAAATAGATTTTTAATTTTTAATTAATTGCATATTTTAATTTCAGAACAGAAATGTTATTTCAGTTATTTAGTATAATTTTGATAATCTTTTATAATATAGTGTGGTAATTGGCTGCTTTAATTATCAGACCACATGTTAATTTGATTTTTTTTAGCTTTCTTAGTGTTGCAATTCATCTGTAGTATTTATTTATTTATGTATTTTTCCTTATTCTCTCTGTTTAAATACTTTAATTCACAATGATTCTAAATAAAAAGACAAATTTTATTGAAAAGCCTTGATAAAAAGTTCAAAGCATTTCAAGCCTTTATTCAGGAGTCTATTATTTAATCAAAACCTTAGTAGTTCTTAGATCATATTTAGTTTTATTTAACCCCTTCGAGCCAGGTAGCAAAAACGCGCACTTGTCGCGGATGCCGGCAGTGTCTTACGCGAGCATCTCTCCAGGGCCGGGGGCTTTTTTGCTACCAAGCCTATAAATCCATGAAATTTCCGAAGCATAAACGCATTGTTTAATAATGCTCTATAGAGTATTTAAATGGCTTATGCTTTATAGATATTTATATATATATATATATATAATACTTTAATTACCTTATTTCTTGTTTAAATGCGTATTTTACACATTTTATTTTAATTACTCACCATTTTATGACTTTTAACATTATACATCTGAAAACTAAATATATTACTTAAAATTCTCTTTTCGTATGAAAAATTTGAAAACAGGGATCTACACAGTCCTATGTTACATTCCTTGCACTCGTAATAACACATTTGCCGTTTTGGAGGATTTTTCCGGGAATGTGAACAAACGAAGCATCGTCGTCTCATTTTCTTATCAGTCTCTTCTGAACAAAGTTTTGGAAAACATCTTTCAGTTAATTTTTTAGAATCAATATCTGAAATATTTTGCATCATTTCTGTTATTTCATGCTCTGTTAAACATTTTTGACGCTTCAACATTGCAACAATAAAAACAGGAAGAATTCACGTCTAACAAGATCTAATTATTTTCTAAAAACTGAACTGTAAACCGAAATACTCAACGCTTTAGTGCATATAAATCTTCTACTTACAATAAACAACTACCAGGCGCGAATAAAATGCGATTTAAAGAGACGTCATAAATCACGCCATTCGGAAACATTTAGTTCCTCGTTTGTTTATATAATCAAAAATACGTGTATGTGAGTCATGCTTCTCTCATTTCGAGTAGAAGGTCTAATGTACATGTATCTGAAACCATATGGACATACAGTGCCATCTTGTGGCAGAAATTATAGTTTCTAAAACGTTCCAGGATACTGGCACAAATACGTGACAGTCGGTAGTAAATGGGAAAATGCTCTGGCACGCCTGCGTGTCGGCTGGGAGGTGAGTGTGTTCGTTGCTGGCACGTAGACGTGACAGTCGGCACGAAGGGGTTAACAGTAATTATTCTTTGTTTTTAAGTATTATTTTCCAAAGCTTTTTAAATGCATCTTTATATCATAATATATGACGAGGAATTATCCATATATATTTTTGCTGTTATTCCATTATATGATCAAATTCCATTAAGCCACAATTAAAAAAAATGTATTTAGTGCATATTGACACAAAGACAGCTCTTGGTTTAGTGTATGAAATATTGTAACATTATAACTTAAAATGCAGTAAAAAATCTTTTCAAAGTAATTTATAGTTTTTTTTTTTTTTTTTTTTTTTTTTTTTTAAGATTTGCGAATGGGTCATTTACTTGCTTCATTCCATTTGTCTTATTAAGATTTAACAAAGCAGATTCATGAAATATTTGGCAAGGCTACAAATATTCTAGAAAGTAATTCATCTTGTCATCATTTGATATGATTAAATTCTCTAAATGTTTAGCTAATGTTTGAAAATACCATCGTCATTGATTTCTTCAAAATAATTATGCCAAAAAAAATCAGGTTATTGTAAAGAACATTGTATTATTTTTTACCTTAAAGCCTTTTCACAATTTTGCTTCTTTTTTAGCCAGTTTAACTAAAATTTTTATTCAATAAAATGGAGTTACTTTCGGCTCCCCATTTTTGTACTTATTGCTTTTGTACTTATTGTATACCTTCAATTGGTTCTAAAAAAGGATGGATCTCATATATAATTGTGTCTTTCAGGGCTGGTCAATGACAAACGAGCACTTATAGTTTGCACTAGGTTCAATTCCTGGTGAACATGCTGTCTATTTGAGGCTTTATTCAAGTGTGATGTGACGCCAGGCCGGGCTTAAGTCTTCCTTAAAAGTGTTCCTTCTGTTGCAGATTGCCATTTTATGCCTTAGTATAACTCAGTTAATAAGAAAAAAATTCCTTATAATAAATCTTGTTACTTATTCAAAATTTGCACCTTTTTATCATAAATTTTCCAATTCAATTTTGCTTCTAATATACGCTCGTGTGCAAAATTAAGAAAATTTGGCAATTATGTCTATTTTTGCAAAACATTTTGAACCAAACATACTAATTATGCCACCAAAGAATTATGCAAATATTGTGTCAAACATGTAAGCATACATGTGCCTGTTTGTGAAAGAGAAGATATAAGCGCACAAGTGTTTTTCAGCAGTTTGTGTGCTCGTACTCTTTCTCAACGTTTACCGTGTTTCTTGCAGAGTTGGGTAAATTTTATAAGGTATCAGGTAACATTGTAGTCACAAATTTATGGAAGACAGAATGAGATGGAGAATGGTCAGTAGATTGGAGGCAGACTATTCAGAAAGGCAAGTGACTACTTAGCTCAATGTAACACCAAGTGTCATCTGCTATTTGTGGAAACAGTTTCAGGACACTGGATCTGCATATCAAGAAGACCTAGACACGCTCAACAAAGATCCACAAAAATGAATGAGGATTGTTATTTGGCGTTTTGTGCATGGCATCACAACTGCTGCAGCTTCACAGCTCTCATGTGAGCTGTGTGCTGCCACTGGAACCCAAATTTCATGGGGTCAATACTTGCCCAAAGGCTTCATAAGGCTATATGCCAAAAAGATCTGCTGTTTGCATCCTGCTCACTGCAGTACACAAGAGTGCATGTTTAATATAGTGCAGACGATATGCATCTTGATCAGACTTCAATGGAGCACTGTGCTTTTTACAGATGAGTCAAGATTCAGCCTGGACACTGATTCTTGGGGTACCTATATCTGGAGAGAGCTTGGAACATGATGCCTTCACTCCATCAGCAGGGAAAAAGTTCATTACAGTTGTGGATGTGTAATGGTTTGGGCAAGCATTATGTTGGATGGCCACACACTTCTGCATGTGTTTGACAAAAGCTTCCTGACTTCTGTAAGATATAGAGAGGAGATCTTAGAGCCCTGTGTTCAACTTTTTAGGGGCACAGTTGGTCCTGGATTCCTGTTCATGAACGACATAGGGCTCAGCTGGTCGACAACGACTGGAAAAAGAAGGGTATTTTTGCATGGATTGGCTAGCCAGATTTCCTGACCTTAACCATATAGTGCATGTCTGAGACACTCTTCTGAAAGCAATTTCATCTTGCCATCCCCCTCTGAGAACTAACCTGACATTGAAAATTGCCTTGCTACTGGAGTGGGATTGACTGCCACAGAGACTCCTCAACTGCCTCCAGTTCAGTATGTTGTCATGCTACACAACCTGCCTGCCTGTGAGAGGGAACCATATTCCATGTTAGACTTCTTTTCAGTTTGATATCGCAACAGGGGTTTTGGACATCCCTGTTGTATGAGCTTTACTTATAATAATGTGCACATAAGATAATTGACTTGTACATCTCTTCTGTTATAAATGTATATTGATACTGAATTCTACTAAAATCTGTTCATTAGTTTTTCAAAAATTTGGTATAAAGTACAAAATTCTCTTAATTTTGCACATGAGTATATATATATATATCTTGAATACCTATTTTGATGTGCTAAAACAGGACTGTGGTGGGATCCAAAAATTTTTTTAACTGGTTTGCTACATAAATAAGCAATAAAAACAGCCACCAAATGGCAATAAATTGCTTAAATAAATAGTGCAATTTATTTTTAACAATTAGTACAAATTTACTGAATTACAGTGAAACTTGCTGGAGCTCTGATACTCATGCATATACACAATAAAAATTACAACTTCAACCTAGAGGTGCATTTATGATCTTGCATAAATTGCAATTACAAAGAGGCTCTTAAATCACTTTTCAGATCCTTTTTTTAACAAAATAGTGGTACAAAAAGCAAATAGGCATACCCTGTATTTAAAGATAAATAGACCAAAAACTTTAGGTAAAATATGCCCACATATCATAAATCTTTGTCTCGCCTCAGCTTTTGAAATTATTGGGACACATTCTATGATGAAATTGTACTGTACATGGATTATTTATATTCTGGGTTGGCTATGAATTGATATCATTTCTAATTTTATGATATATTAGTTAATTTAATATTTATACAGTATTTATGTGGTATAAATTATTTGGGAAAGCTGAAAAGTTTTCAGGTATGAATTAAATGTTGATTGTCTCTTCAATTCATTCTGTGGGTGTCCTATTTTCAAAAAGTGGCAGGAGTTGTATATAAATTTTTCTGTGTAAAATAGAAAACTTTAGTTATTCTATTTATAGAAATGTTAATTTATAGAGTTACAATCCTGATGTAACTCATAAATATCCTTAAGTTTCTAAAATTATAATTTATATTGTTTAGAACATGAAGGAAGAGATTTAAGTGCAATCCTGTCAAGTCTTGTTCAAATTATTTTGGATCCCTTGTATCATACTATTACTGGGTTTGAACTGCTTATTCAAAAAGAATGGGTTGCTTTGGGTCATCCATTCACAGAAAGACATCGTCTGATAAGTGGATGTGAAGGAGAAGAGGTAACTATATCTATGTTTTCTATGCTGCTTATTCTAAATTATCATTTGTGCAGAATATTTAATAATTTCAAATGACTGTAATTTCATAGTGAACCTCATATCTCTGAACCTTGAAATTAGTTTAAACTATGTTAAGCCTGAGAGTATCCGATACACTTAGGCAAAAACACATTTATGATATACGTAATGTTTTAAAGCATAGATGAAGGAATCTGGTACTTTGATTTTTGGTCTCCAAAGATTCTTTATTGTGTAGCCAGAGGGATGAATTCACAAACCAAAAACCTTCAGATAGGGCCATTTTGAAACAGAATTGTATTGCAAGATAATTCACAAATTTCTGGTCTCCAAGATATTTTTTAATCATAGTTGAATGCAGTAATTTCCATGTACATGGGTTTTACAGTATGACGGTATTTTACATGAGTAAGCCTAGCAACAAAACGTCTTGCCAGAAGGAAAGCTTAAGCGAAAGTGGACACCGCAATTCAAAGGAAGAAAGGAGGGAGCCAAAGGTTTCAGTTCTGAGTTAAAAAAAAGTTTTGGTTTACAATTATTTTGATTGGGCAAAAGGTATCTGCATTAAGCATTACGTAACATGAAAAGGTCTCGAATTTGGGAGAACAGATGAATTTAGGGGGAGAGCATGAAATCTAAAATCGTTAATTTCAAAATCGCCAATTATTTTTAATGCAACTATCATATTTTGTTATATCTTACATATACAGGGTGTCCCAAAATGACTGCATAAACTCTGCACAGATAGATTCCTCCTTGGGAGTACATAAAAACTGCCCAAAGAAGCGTTCCTGTACAATCCATAGTTTACAAGAAAAATACGAAAAACAAAGTATGTTGTAAAAGGCCAGTGCAAGAAAAAATGCTTTATTGGACATATCAACAACAGTTTTGGCATATCTTTCCAGATGTTAATGTTTAAAACATTCGCCGCACAAATCGCGTCATGCATGCGCACATGCTGTGGAATTACGTTAAGCCACCGTTGAACTGGTATTTAAAAGGCTGCATCTTGCAGCTACCGGTAGTCTTCATATGGTAGCCATGTATTCCCTTCATCACTGCTGCGACATGTACACGACCGATGTAATGGAAACGCCTTACGAACTGCTAGGGAGTATGCCTGTCGATATCCGTCCCGCCGTCCTCCCAATGTCAACATCATCCATAGGCTTAACGACAGACTATGAAATACGGAAAGTGTCTTGCCACCAGCAAATCTTCACGATACTGGAGGACTGCAGAGCGGCCTGACGGTAGCACAGGCGAGTGCAATACTGCAGCGGGTAGAAGAGACGCTCGAGGTAAGCACACGTGCATTAGCCCGTGAGATGACTTCGAGTAAAAGTACTGTGCATAGGCTTGTATGGTCTGAGAGGCTACACCCATTTCAGTACACAACCGTGCAAGGTCTGAAACCAGATGACTTTCAGAAACGCGTAGCATTCTGTGAATGGCTGTCACAGCAAAAGAACACAGATAATGGTTTCATTGCACATATCCTGTGGACCGATGAATCATGTTTCACTCATGATGGTGTATTCAACCATTACAACAGCCATATGTGGTCCCAGGTCAGTCCGCATGCAATCCGGCCATAGAAACATAAAAAATGTTGGTCTCTTAACATGTGGGCTGGCATACTCGGAGATCGCCTGTTTGGACCATATCTGTTGCCTGAACGGCTCTCGGGACAGTCATACTTGGTGTTTCTCAATGAGGTCTTAACCGAGTTCCTCGATGACATACCATTAGTGGCAATACAGGGACTTTGGTTCCAGCATTGGGGCTCTGGTGCATTTTTGTGCTCCTGTACATGGTTGGCTGGATATGGAATACCCCGGGTGCTAGATCAGACGTGGGGGGTGTCTGGTTCCATGGCCGCCACATTCACCAGATCTTACACCGTTGGATTTTTTCCTATGGGGTCATCTCAAGGAACTGGTGTATCAAGTGTAGTGACAACACCAATGTACTTAGTCGCTCGTCTGCATGCTACTTGTACTTTGGTGGACCCCACGATGCTGCAACGTGTGATGATAAGCCATTCCACAGCGTGCTCAAGCCTGCCTCAACATGCACGGCGGACGCTTTGAACATCTGCTTTAAATTGTGCATATACTGCTGTTGATATGTTTAATAAAGTGTTTTTTCTGGCACCGGCAGTGATGTCATACTTTGTTTTTCGTATTTTTCTCGTAAACTATGGATCATGCAGAGTTTATGCGGTTGTTTTGGGACACCCTGTATATGTGATATTTTAAGGCTTAGGTGAAGGCATGAAGAAGATGTTAACAAAACTGAATTGTAGAATCACCGTCTTTATTTTTACACATCTCAAATCATCTTTTTGGTACACAAATGACTTTTTAGTCATCGTTGAATACAATAATTTTTATATGCACAGGTAAAAAGATGCAACGTCATTTCAGGCAGGAAAGCAGAAGCGGTGCAAAGTTGTTTGCATAGTAGAAGTCAGGAAGAAATGAGTGTAGTTTCTCACGAAGCTGAATTTGTATTGTATAGGTGCATATGTGAATCTAAGCCATGATTGGTTAATTTTACTTTTAGTTACCTTTTTCAAGCAGGGTGGTAGGAACATCTGTAGAGGTGTTTTATTATTATTATTTTATTGGACAACACATTTAATTACATTAAATTTATATGCATTTTCACAACTCAGTTCGCTTCCTCTGAAGAAACATATTTCATCCGTCTTTAAATCCATCACCATCCTCTGTTCACTTCATCTCACAGCCAACTGCCAAAATGAAAACATCAAAGAGAATCAACAGTTTCAACTTGAGCACCATCTTTCATCATCAGTTGGACCACATTCTTTTGGCCTTCTTGTTTTCAACTGGTCCTCCAGGCAACGCTGCAAATACCAAAATAAAAATATAAAAACAAAACAGAAAAGATAATAGCATGTCTGGAAATGAAGGTTAAACATTTTTAGAGTCCTTGATAGTCTTTCAGCTCCAAGAATGACAAAAGAGCAAAATTATCTTAAAGCTTCATTTGCTATAGAAACAGTAGTTAATGTCTTTACCCACATGTTCTTCATCTTTTAGGCATCTTTTCCTTCTTCTTTAGATGTGTTTCTTTTCATCATTAGTCTTTCCTTTTCATGGTACGGGTAATTTTTTTTGTTAGTTTTTGCCTTTATACAAAAAATATACAATTCATTTCTTTTTGTTTTACAGTTTATTTTAATCTTCTTTTCTCTGTATTCATTTAGCAATTATTCCATGGTTTTAGAAATTCAGCTGGCTACATGTGTGTTTTCTCCTTTAACTTTAGTTAATCTGTTTGGTTCAAGATACTTTGATTTTAATTTCAAATGCCACCCAAATTGCATTCTTTTTATAGCTACCAATTCTTTGATGTTGTAAAGTCTTGGTTGATCTTCTCTTCTTCTTAAATTATATGTTTTTTTTTTTTTTCTTCTTGAATTTTTAATAGTTTTTACTTCACATGCTTTCTAAGTTCATCCCTTTTAGCTTTAACATTCGCTTGAAATTCAGCTTTAGTCATTTCAATTAATTTGTCAGTACCTTTAGCATTCATCTTTGTACCAAAGAGCAATTCAGAGGGTGTAGTATCTATACTTTGCTGATATGTCAAGTTAATAGCATGCTGCAGTTCATTTGTATTTTTGTGCCATTGAGATGGATTTTCTTAAGATAACTTTAAAAGAATTTATGTAATATTCTGATTGATTCATTCAACTTGGCCATTGATTCTAGGCAGGCTGGTAATTTGTTTGGTATAAAATGTGATGAGTTACAAAAGATAATGGCGCTGGTTCCAAAATAAAACTAACTAAGTAGGCCACACAAATATTTAATTATTTACATAATGTACAAAGTTACAAGTTAGGTGCTCCATTAGCACAGACAAAGTGGAACAAGCGAACGCACCATAGGTGTGCTGCGTACGTTCTTCAACAACCAACTCAACTAAATTTGGCTCCTCTCACAAGAAGGTGCTATATTAAACCAAACATTCTGGCCCCCATTGAAACAAGTTTCAATAATGCCATAAAAGTTTTACAATCAAATTCAAATTTAGACATACATATGAAAAACGCAATGAAATGCAATTTAATGCAAATTATTTCAATTACAGAACAGTAATCGGCAAATTCGCTGAAGGTGAATACTATATCTCTATCCGAGATTATTTGGTAAATGAGTTGTCTCATAGCTCATAAGTAAACCCTCTTTCCCAACTATGAGTATTTTCTTTGATGGCTGTAAATGTATTAATTAAAAAGTAATAAATAGTATAGAACTATTATCAACCTAAATTGCTGAATTTTTTAGCAGGAAAGCACAAATTTAAGCAATTGAAACAAAAATTGAGAAAACAAAATGGAAATAAAACTAAATTAATAGAATAATGAAACAAAATTTGCATGATATTAAATAATAGTTGATAATTCTTTGGCGTTTATCAGAATCCCTTGTATCTCAATGAATTATCAACAAAATCACTCTGAATTATTTTGGATGAATTCTAAAACTAATCAGAGAATCCTTTAAATTTTAAATAATGACATGAAAATAAATCAATATAAAATGGAATGCATTTAAAAAATTAACATTTTGAAAAACTTTAAATTCTTTAAATTAACAGTTAATTAAGTTAATTTTTAAAATGTTTAAACTTTCTTTAAAAAATTTTAATTAAAAAATGCATGAATCAGTGCAGCCATTCAAAATGATGCCCACCCATACCATGATTTCACCACCATTGTACTGATGACTTTCACAGATATTTTCAGCCTTAATGTGTTTTGCTCCCTTCAGATTGTAAAAACCAAACTCTTTGTTAAATAGACCATAGCTCCAGTCCGTGATATTCCAATCATGGTGATCACTGCAACGGGGCACATATTGGAGCCTGAGTTACTAGGATGCAAATCAAGGATTTCCTTGCATGCACTTTTCTTTTATGCAGCCTGTTACTCATGGTAT